CCTGAGACATATTCTCTCATATGAAACACATACACACATAAGATATGAACTCAGAAGGCAGCTAGTTGTGCTGAGTAAGAAAATCAATAGAAAAAAATGAGCGACAAATGTGGGTAATAAAGGAACAATCACCAGTAAAGTACACTGGTACACACCTATGAAAACACCACACTATATCCCATTATGTTATGCACTATTTTAAAAACTAACAATCATTAGTAGAAAGAATAAGTCCTAAAACCTGTGATCAAAAGAGATTCAGTTATGAAACATGAGTTTTCTCATTTTCATATGAGCATCTAATGCCAATACATTTGTCTATATCCACATCTTAGACAGTCTTAGGCAGCTCATCACAGAACCAGGGGCCATGCATATGTGCATATGTTAAATGTTGATTTTTAAATATTCCACAAGATCCAGTGAATACAAGCCCTGTTTGCCTCACCTCACGTACTAAACAACATCTTTCATCCTCCACACCAAGTAATTGCCCTACATTTGTGCTGCTTGCTCTGTAGTTCATATCATCTAAAGGTCTTTCCTCAGCTCACACTCATCAATGAGCTCTCCCACTGGCAATACATATTCTAGAATGCAGCCAAAATATATGAACATGACAAATGGATAAGAACAGCTTACACATTGAACACAGGCTTTAATCCAGTTACTAATGGGTTCTAAGCTACTGAACACAGTGATGCTTTGGAGTCACTACTGGATTCTAATATAAGCAGAAATAAAAAATAAAGTTGAAGAAATAGGTCATAGGAAGGAAATGACTTCTGAGAAGGAGTTCATGTTTCATAACTCAAATACTCAACTAGGTTTCTCATGGAGAATGATGATCTGGGCATTTCTGGACACAGTATAAGACAAGAAATTTCTAGATTTGACCTGATTATTGGAGCTTCACACAATGGAGAGCAGGGATACTGGTTGGTTATTAGGTCTCTATGACCAGTGTAGCATGGGCCATACTGCTCATGATCTATGAATGGTGGATGCCATACACATGAGACTTAGGCTCTCTGATTTGCACTTGGGAATAGAAAACACAGTGTGTCCACATGAACCCTGATTGTCATGGTTAATTTCAAATCTTTACCTTCACATTCTGCTGAGATCATTTCTAAAGGAGTTCAAACAAAAAACTCATTGACACTGTCCTGCGACCAATCTGCCCAACATTGCTTTCTCCCATGGACCTCAATTCCCAGGGATATGAGTTGATGTCATAGGACCTGAGGCTGTGATGTCTTCAGATATATTTTCCATCCAATGTTTTTACCTCTGTTGTGGACCTTAACTGCAGAGCCCTTGGACAGAGACTACTTGCCATTTCTCAAGGATATTGGAGTGATCTGGAAAACAAAGCGTTTCATCCACATAAGTGACCTTTCCAGTGGGAAGTATACATAAATGCAGATGTGTATACATGGGGATCCATTTAATAAACTGGTCTGCATCCACAGACCACACTACCAGCTTAGAGATTTAGAGGCAAAACCTGATGCGTCCTTCGAATTTCTTCTTTTGGCTCATGAACATCCCCCTCCTCATGTCCACTCTCACTCACCACAAGTGCTTTTGGAGAATGAAAGAGAATGAAGACAAACATGAAGATGTGGTGAGAAGCTGTTTATTTTTCCTTGCTGCAGTTCAGAGTCCCATGAAAAAAGAGAATTTCAGTTTTGTTCTGGATGTGCCGTAAGTGTTTTTCATTTTTCATGTAAATGTCATGATAGATAATGCAGGAAAAGGGTTTGAATGGGCAGTGCAATGCTGGGAGCTTCT